TTTATTGGTATGTTTTAGGTATACAATATAATGATATATAATATATACATATATCATTTTTCACAAAAGAGAAACCATGCATGTTATACATGTTTAAATTAGTGTGTCTGGCTTGCTTCACTTAATATTATGGTCTCAAAGCGCATCTGTTTATCTACAAATAACTTGTTTGTCCTTTTGTATTGCAGAGTAATTGTTCATTGTATATAAATACCACATTTTAAATCCATTCATCTGTTGATGGACGTATAGGGTGTTTCTAAGATTTAGCTATTATTAATTGCACTGCTGTAAACATGGCATACATACATCATTGTGATATGATGTCTTTAACTCTTCGGGGAAGATACCTAGAAAGGGAATAGCTGAATCAAATAGAATTTCTACTTATAGTTTTTTGAGTAATCACTATACTGATTTCTGTAGTGGATGTATCAGTTTACAGTCCCACTAACAATGGAGAAATGTTCTTTTCTCCCAGCATCCACACCAGCATTTGTCATTGGTTGATTGCTTTATGGTAGCTGTTCTTTCTGGAGTGAGATGGAATCTTTAATTCTAATTTCTCAAATGGCCAGCAATATTGAACATTTTTCATGTATTTGTTTGCCATGTGTATTTCTTCATCTGAGAAATGTCTATTCATTTCAGATGCCCATTTTTTGAGTCTTTAAATTTGGGGAGGGTCTAATTTTTTTTAGTTCTTTATATATTCTAGATATTAGTCCTTTGAGGAGTAACTGGCAAAAACTTTCCCATTCTGTAGGTTGTCTCTTCACTCTGTTAGTGATTTCCTAGGAAGAATATGTACTCATTGTAAAAGACTGCTATGAACAATTAATAATCTTGGTCATGGTCAGAATTGTCTAGGGTACATTATAATGGGAGCATACATACTCATATTCAGATCTCTAGATCATATGAATTCTCTCAGAATTGACAAATTTTTGATGCCATGAAATTCTATTCAATAATCTTTTTTTATCTTTTTCATTATTATATATTTGCCATACATAGTATTCACATTCATCATAGGGAATTTGTACCTGTACATAATAGATCTTAATTCTTCCTTTTTTTCCATTCCCTTCCTCTCCCTTCAACACTTCTTCCTCTCCCCATTTACAAAAGCTTTGTTCCCATTTCTTTCTCCAATCTTTGTTTTTTAATCTCTTTTCCTTTCCTTTCCTTCCCTGCACAGTACCTTATTCACCTTCACATTTGAACATATTCTTCCTACTTCCCAATATCTATCCTCCATTCTGCTCCTTGTTTACCCTTACAGTTTCTCAAACAAGAGAAACAATGCAATACTTAAGCTTGTGTATCTA